TCTGGCGCGCCGCCGCCTCCTCCGCCACCCCCGCCGCCCGCGACGCCGCCGCCGAGCGCATGCGAGCCCAGGCCGTGCGGGTGCATGCTCATGCTCTGCGGGTGGTGCGGCTGCATGTGGTTGATGGCCGCCGCCATGTGCGAGTGGCCCGTGCCTACGTCGGACGTGGGCATGGCGCCCAGGGAGATGGCGGGCGTCAGGTGCTCGAGGAGGTCGCCCTCCAGGCCCTGCGCGGCCTGGTGGTGCGCGTGGTGGTGGTGATGGTGGTGGTGGTGCGAGGTGAGCACGGACGGGTGGTGCAGGTGCGCCGACGACGAGGTGGGCGTGCACGTCATGCTGGTCATGGTGGTCATGGTGTGGTAGGTGGCGTCCGGCTTGAACGGGTGGCTCTTCTGCGCCACGATGTCCACCGCGGCCAGGGCCTCGGCCCTCTGGAGCAGCGTCTCGTCGAAGCCGGCGAAGATGTTGCCCTGCAGCTGCAGGCCGGGTGGAGGGGGATGGCATGAGGGGAGAGAGAGCGCAACAACACAGAGGTCAGCACATCCAGCTTTAAGCTTCTTTTATTATCATGTCCATACACGACAATGACTTTCTGGAAACCTTCTTTATACTTTTGAAAACAAAAACAAACAGAACGAAAACTTGCCACACAGCCCCAAAAAGACTACACTTTCAGGCTTTTGGTCATTTCATAGCTGCTTATAGCTTTAAGTGGTCAGTATATACGCTCTGTGTCGGAGTTCTACGCCTATTTCTGAGTGGCAAATTCAAACCAAGTCATAGGCGTATGAATTGACCTGTATGGAGATGACCATGAGTCTGCAACGTCAGAAAACAACAAAACTGGCACTTACCGAGGGCGTGGGCAAACATGCCCGCCGAATAGCCTCCGAGCTGGAATGCAGAGGTGTGTACTTCGGCTCGTGCAGGATGGGATGCATGCTAAAAGGCTGCTTGCTGTTCATGGACATCATGATTGCAGAAGTTAGAGAAGGTCGTTTCTCGTCTTCGTCGTTTAACTCCGTTTTTGTTCCGCTTTATATGTGTTGGAAGAAAAATAGCTGAAGAAAAAAAGGTAGAAATGTGGTGGACAGAGAGGCAGGCGCGCGTCCCGCCCGGGAGATCTTCCTTCTCCTTCAGAGCTGCGCCCTGAAGCGGACCGTTAACAGTCTGATACAGTAGGTATTTACGCAGGCACCTAAATATAACGCTCTCCTTCTGGCCCCGCCCCCGCAACTTTCCTCGAACGTCATTGGTGCGAGCTCGTTCGAACACGCCCCCTCCCGGGACATTCAGTCACGTGCTTCCACTGGTGCTGAAAATTTGACGGATCGCAGGATGGCCTGAAACTGCACTCAGGAAAAGCCTTGTAGCAGGTACGCTCACCTAGCGGCTCAGCTCGCTGTCGATAATGAATTAATTACTGAGTCTGTTGGAAAAAAAAAATTAAAAAAGGTGTTTGTAAAAGAAAGTGTAAAAGAAAACTTTGATACTTTTACATATCAGTGCGTTTGTTGATAGACTGTTACAGTCAGTCATTTGGACATTTCTATTCATAATTGCTGGAAAAAGTGATAGTTAGTGTTTAGTGATTCTGATTGAAATGACTCGATCGAAATGTGACATGGACGATCTGATGGTTGCTTCTCTGTGGGGCTGGCCATACAGTTTCGTGCATGAATTAATCATTGGCCTTTTACTTTGTGGTATACACCACAATATGGATTCCCAATTAGAGCATAAATAGCTCAAAATGGATAAGGGAACTGCAATGAAATATTTATCATAAATATTTATGATCAGACAAATAAAAGCCATCAATCAACTAGGCTACCTTTTCAGCATGCAGAGTTCCTTTGGTATCAGAGAACTGTCATTTCAATAGTCATAGGCAGATGATGGCTATTTTGGAAATACAAAGACAGTACGTATAGTCTAAGGTCAGAACTTTCTTGATGAAGACATGAAGACCAGTTTTCACAAATGTGATTGCACTTGTAACCAATGCCAACAGACTCTTTTTTATATATATTAAACATACACATATATTAAAGGAGGCCCTTTTTTGTGACGCACACAAGCTGTCTTCCTTTGGCTTGCATTGAGCCCACACAGCCATCATTCTAATTGGAGCTGAAACCCCAGACACTGACAATAGAAGCCCACAATGGAAGCAGCAGTCTCGGCGAGTCTGACTCGGAAACCCGAGCAGCGAACACTGCCAGCGACATTGTCCCCTCGTGCCTGGCTCCCTGCTAGAGTCTTGGCACCCGCTCATCAAATATATATCAGCACCGCCACCTCTCCCCTGGCAACCACCATCACTGGGGACTCCAGCCATTGAGGTATGGATGATCGGGAAGAAGGGAAAAGAGCATCACACAAAAAGTCATCTCAAATAGCAGTGCATGTGCCGGCACACATATAAACAGAGTGTTACCCACTGTGAATGTCTGCGTACACAAACTTACCTGTGAATGTATCGAGCTGCTCCATCATCCGTCTCCTCTCCTCAACTCATGTCATCTCTGTTTCCTCTGCCAGGCTGCCAGCATGGAGCTGCACTCCCTTTCCTGATGAGTTTTCTGCAAACAAGCCTGGGGAAGTGCTTGATTATTGCTAATGGAACATTTTCCTCAATGAATATTAATGCTGGAATGGGGAATTGGTTGTATTGGCTGTTCCTCTTCTAGTTAATAGGCTGTGCTGCATAGACTGCTTGTAAATTTCTATTTGATACTCAAACAGCATATAGGAATCAGTGAAAAACAATGTAGACAATTGTTTAAATGTTGCTTGTGTTTATAAGCAAGGGGAGCAGAGAGCTCTTTGTGAAGTGCAGCGTACAGTACGTTTAAGCCATTTTGACGTAAAGTACTTTACACAAACTAGCAAATATCTAACGATGAAATGCAGAAGTAACCACTGCCACCACTAGAGCTACCCCTCATTTTTTAACTCCATATCTATTCCTCTTGTCCCATGTGGCTTTCCAGTGTTTTCAATGTCCAGTACAGATACAGATGCTTTCCCCCCACTTTGAACCCATTTGTTCATCTTGTACTACTCTCAGATGGGTCTGTCCACTTTTACTGTACACTGACCATCCCATTATGTGTAAGGTGTGCGTTTGGGTGTCTTGGGGCAGCTGACGTCACGCCAAGACAGCGAATCTTTCTGGTACGTTAAGCAAATGGACAAACTCTGCAGTGAGCAGAGGAGGGCACAAGCCTCACTTTCCTCTCTTTCTTCTCTGTGTTGCTATCATTCTTGGTAGACTTCTCCTCCCCATTTCATGGCAATTGATAAATTATTGATAGCGTGTAAAATCTAACGTAGGCCTGCGACCATTCACCAAATCAGCGGGTTCGTACTGTGGGGCTGCTGAGAGGAAAGGGTGTCTAACTACACGCTTTAATGTAATTGCCTTTAGGGTTCCTGGTAAATATTTTATCGACTGCCAACACAAATTAAAGATACAAAGCCAGAAAGAAAGGGTGGGGGGGTGAGGTGGGGGGAGACACCCTTCCTTCTCTCCTCATCCTGTTAAGTTGACCTGCTTGGCAGGTAAGGAAAACATGCTGCCCTGCCATCCAGAGGAGGTGCAGATCTAGGAGTGTTTTAGTGGAGAGGAGGTTTAGAACGGGCAGGTGTGCCCCAGGTGGAAATGATTTGGACTTTTGGTGATGTGCGCTCAGGCTGAAAGCCTAGACTTAAGCCCATATGCTTCTATTTTGTCTTGAGATCCACTTACAGCATTTGTGTGCAATTCATTTTAACATGGCCATTTCCCAAAGTCAGTTTATCGCTTAAAATTAACTGGCTGGTTCCTGTGCCTTTGAGACTGATATAAGATAAATGGGTTCTGTTTGGTTGGCTGTCATCATTCAAAATGCATTCAGAGCTAAAACACTCTTCAGAACTTCATTATAAGTGGGTGGGGCTAAACTGCTGTTGGCTGAATAGGTGGATGTATGTAAATGAGTTGGTTCTCATGACATCACAGTAATAGTGAATGTAAAAAGGGCTGACAGTGTTGACATACTACTTCAAAAAGCGAAGGTTTCCATAATATGGACCCTTTAAGTGAGTTCAGGGGGATGGGGAAAAAGCAGGAGAGGTGGGGCAGCTTATGAACTGCTAGCTTCAGGACAGACAATGAGGTAAGACAGGACAAAATGTAAGCAGGGAAACGTCATTAACTGACAGGTCAGTGGCCGAAGAGCCATGAAATATGCATGGCGGCTGAGGTTATGGTGAGCAACCTGACCAGGATGTGATGTGAGGCCTCATTAGGAGGATAAAAAAAAGGAAAACAAATTTCCACTTTCAGGTGTTGTGCAGCTCAAGGAATTTTCCATTTTTATATTTTTTATATGTTTATGACAGTTTGCAGTGTCCTTTTCGTTTTGGAGTCTTCAGAGGTGTCTGATCCTGACTTTGCTTGGTTTAACATGCAACTGCTGCATGCAGTTATAATATACATCATGTTTAAAATGTAGTTTCATAGGGGAATATTAGATGGAACTGATCTTCTTCCTCTTCTTGCACTTGGTCACATACCTCAATTTTTCTCTCTTTTGTCCACCCTCTGTCTCTCTTTTCACCATCTTCCACCCCAGGTTTACCTGCCATTTCCCATCCAGGCAGAATTGGCCACACTAACTCTGGAAAAGCACAGATCAATAGATTAACTGAGTGCTTATGAATTATGCAGAGGAGCCTTACAGCAGTTGGACATAAAGTGTGTCTACTCCCGAACTGACGTGTAAAAGCTTTAAAGTACAGGCCTGTTTACTTGTTCCAGAGCAAGCAGGGTGCGGGGCCTTAAGACCCCCCACCTAAGACCCCTGCAGCCAAGGCCCACAATCTGGACCTCATAGTCAGACGAGGACCATAATGAGACAGATGGGGGGGCCAAGGGGGTGTACCATGGACGTGGTGCTGATGATTTGAACAGAATTTTAAATTACCGTGGCATTTTTAGTTTTCATCAGTGTCTCTACATGGAACTCTAATATTTTAAAAAATGTTGGTTTTGGTTGAACAACTACATTATTGTGATAAATGGCCCAAATTATTCAGTCATAACTTTCAGCATGTTTGGAAAACTAGTTCACTGATATATATTTTCACAATATATAGGTATTTAAAGGTGATATATAACCTGACAGTAGTAGAAGCTTGAGCTCCTTTTCTGAGCATTAAACCCCTGAAGAGGCAGATACAGCAACAGAGGTAGCCTGACTTGTAGTACATCATTTGTAATTTTGAATTTGTAATTCTTACATTTTGTAAATTTGCATATAATCACACTTGATATCCACTTTTTTTGCTCTACAAGAATAGAGAAGAGTAAACAAAGGAAAAAACAAATAAACAAACAAAATGATGTAAATATACCAGCAAACACAAGAAGGAAAATTAATGATATGTAAATTTCAGTTTCATTTCAGTCTCCAGCGCTTCAGCACAGTGCAAAGAAAAGGAATGGGTCTTTTTATTGTTTTTTTTTTTCTCCTTCCAAAGCTTTGGAGAATTACACGGCTCTGTTTCATCTGTACTCCCAACAGTTTTCCATAAAACAGGGACGACATATTGAGACAGATGTGCAGTGTGACATGTAGATAGCTGGCAGGCGTTTGTTTAGAAGCCAAAGGAGAAACGCAGGAAAGAGGAAGAGGACCAAAAGCTCAAACATTTGTCTTGGATCTCCTTTCTTCTTTATTTTTTGAAATATTAATGCTGTTGCTTGAGGCCAAATATGTTTATGCAGGGCGTTCAGCATGCGGGCTGAGATTCCGAGTGATGCTCTACCATTGATTCTCTTCATTGTTGGTTTATCTTTCTAATTAGAGGTCGTGAGCCGCCCCTCACCCGCTGCCTCAACGTGCACCCCTATCCTTTCTTGCCCTGCTCCTCCGTTGCTTTCGCTCTTGTTCCTTCTTTTGAGTGGAAGATTGTTGTCTCGCTAGCTGCTTTGTGTACCAGCTGCTTCAAAGTGCCGCTGTGTTAATTATTGGTTTGTTTGGTGTTGACTGTAGCAGAGAATCAGTATGTGTGTGCGTGAGGGGTAGTGCAGACCTCTTGAAGTGGTGTGGATAATGAGCCCGAGATTGAAGGAATGGAGAGGGTGTAATGGAGAGTGGGTGAAAGAATGCACATGTGCTTTGAGCCTCAGTGTGCTGACCATAGCAGAGTGAGTACAGGCTAAATGTTGTAGTTGTGAATTCTTGAAGTTTTTTGATTGGTAAAGATTCTTAGATCATCCAAGAGCATTCCATTTTCCAGTGTGACCCAGAAGATTCAGTATGGTCTTCAAAAACTGTGAGTTCTGTGCCACTTTCCCACTAAATATGTGTCATTGCTGGACAGAATGGCTTCTGTCTCCAATATATGGTGGTCTTTGGGCACTAAAACCTGAAATCTTTTCTACCATCAATCCAGTAAAGTGTACATCTGGTGATATGAAGGCTTGATCCTGCTGGTGCTCTTGCGGTGTCTGCTCAGACCAGAGGCAATGGCAGTGAAGGTCCCTGCAGGTGGTCAACTGAGCAACACAGCATAGGCAGAGACAGTGAAGGCTACATTTTTGGGGCCTCTGGGGAGTGGGGGGATGCTCTGAGATGGTGGGGGCCCACGGGGGAGCACTCTGGAACCCAGCTGGTGCAGGATGGGGTGCCATTGTGCTCCATGGCCTCCTCTTCACAATGCTAACAGGATTAGCGTATAGAAGAAACCCGCTCCTCACAGCTCTGGGCTGTTCCTCCCATGTCTCGTCTGACCAAGGTTTAAGGAACTCCTGGTTCTGCTTTGATAGACCATAACAGAGCCCCACAGGGGGCTGAGGGAAAGCAGACCAGCTCTTTCTTCTTCTTCTTCTTCTTCTTCTTCTTCTTCTTCTTCCACGTTTTCCACTTTAAATAGAGGAAGAGGGGTCCTAAGGACTGATCAAGCCTCAGAGCTTTTCTAATTGTGCTGTTTAAAATGCCAGTAGATCTTAAATACATTCTGTAATCAATAATATCAACTCCGCTCATAGAGCATATCTAGTCCATTTTTATATCGCTGCTGTCAGAACAAAATCTCATCTCCATTTTTGCCATTTTTCAGTTTTTGACATAATTTGAAAATGCCTGTTGCCCTTTACATTGTGTATAAATTTCACAAAGAATGGACGAAAACAAACGGCCCAAAATGACTTTGAAAAAACTCTGGTTCCATTGACTTAAAATAAAAGTAAAGTATGCTTTTTGCTTCTCCATTTCAAATATCAGGATCCAGGATACAAGACACAAAACAAGAGAAGAGTCTTTGAGGACGAAAACTAAACCACATTTACTCTTTGGCTGTTAACATAATTCAGTTAAGATACTAGGAGATGTTGACTGGGACTTGACTGAGTTCCTCTAAATGTGTCTCCCTTTATAATCTTAAGAAAAGGTATTTGTCTGTTGGCTTTTTTGAGATCAGTGTATGAAATTTTAGCTTTGATCTCCA